CCCTCCGCCCCCCCCCCTCTCAACGCTACCAGGCCGGAAGAATTGCCGGCCGCTCCCTCCGCCACTGCTAACTCCGGCGGCAGTGGCGGTGGCCGCAAGGGCAAGGGCAAAGCCAAGAATTCCCGCAGCAAGAGGAGCGCCTCCTCTTCCTCAGACACGACGACGACGACGACGGCGGGGGCACCGCAGGGGGCGTCCTCCTCATCGAGGGGGGGTGGGGGCTTGACTTCCTCGGAGTCGTGTACGGGGACGTCCGAGCGCGACGAGTCAGCGGTGGCGGCGGCGGCTGCTGCGGCGGCTGCTGCGGCGGCCGCTGTTGCGGGAGTCGTGCCTTCGCCCAACCGCGTGTACTACGTGGTGGATCCGAAGGAGGTGATGGGGCTGAACCAGGCCTTCATGTGTCCTTTCCTGGCGAGGTGCGTGGCGGGGTCCGTTGGGTGTACTGCATACGACACAAGATAATACACACCTCCTGGACCGATTGTCAAAGCTGGATTTTAGCAGCAGCAGAAAGAATAGGGATGCCGAGAACGGCGGCGTTGAATCCGTCTGGTCAAGAGCTCTCCGAAAACGTATCGTTTCGTTTGTGCATCCTCGGTGCAGTGGAGTAATCGAGCCTTGAAAATCGGTCCTGGGGGTATGTTATCTTGTGTCATGTCGTGTACGGTATCTATGCGATTCTTGCCCCTCTGTTAAGGGGCGTGAGGCATACTCGTGTTGAACGCTTGCCGTAGTCGTTAGTCCTTGGATTTCGCATCGCGGGATGGAGCGACATGCCGGGTTGCGGTTGGCAAGAACCAGAAAGTTGGCCATAGTCCTTGTGTTGTTGTGCCAATCCACATATATATGCCATCTGTCATCTGGGTGGGGGAACGGCGATTGCTGTGGTGCGAAAGTAGTAGGATGACGATGGTTCCTCCTGCCCTCGCTTATCCAACCAACCAAAGCTCTTTGGCACGTGTCCAACGCCATGATACTGCTGTGCCCCCTGCCCCGCCTGTCACTTTCACCAATCGTCTGCTGCGTGGTTTTGCTGCGCTCCGCGTTCCCCCTGCGCGTCACGATGACGTCACATTGACCAGGTCTCCGCAGCTGCTGGTGCCGGGCATGCTGAAGGCGTCCTTCAGCACCAAGTCGAACCGCTTGTGCAGCGTGCAGTTCTCCTTTGACCCCACCGTCCCAGCTAGGCAGCTGGCGCGCGCGGCCATGCTCCAGGGCCGCGCGACCCCGGGCATGGCGGGGATGATGGCGGGCATGCTTGGCATGGGAGGGGTGGACGTCTCGTCCTTGATGGCGGCGAAGGGAGGAGGCGTGCCCGGCGCTGTCCGAGAGTGAGCAAATGACTTGGCATCTTTCTGTGTGTGTTGTTGCAGATTTCGCTGCTTGGAGTGAGCATGGCCTTCGGTGGTTCTTGGGTCTGTCATTGCTGATCTTCCTGTCGGGTTTCCTTTTTTTTGTTGCAAACAAATCCCACGACAAATCTGTCTCTTCCACAGACAACAATCCGTAGCAAGTTAAGCAATGAACTTCTAGTGTTGTGTGCATGTGTTGACCATTTTTTTTTTTTTTCCGGCCTTTCCACCCATCGTGATTTGGCATCTTCTTGGGGTTTTCTTCTTGCTGTCGGGTGTGTTTGCTTTTTTCTGCGCCCCGAGATCAAGAATGGTGGTGTTGTACTGTGGTGACATCCTCTCACCGCCTCGGTGGTATGTACCGTAGGTGACATGACACAAGATACCACACCCCCTGCCCGAAGCTGGATTGTTCCACAGCAGCACCAAGAGTAGAGGTGCCGGAAATGGCGGGATGCGTTGGAACCGTTTGGTCGCCAGCTCTCCGAAAGCACGTCATTTGAGTTTGGTATTCTCTTCGTCGTGGAGTAGTCGAGCTTCAAAACATCGGTCCGGGGTGTGTGGTATCTTGTGTCATGTCACCTGCGGTGTGCACATGGCGGTTGGGCAGGATGCACTTCGGAAGCACCTTGCCCTGGAGCTCTGGGTGATCTGGCGCAGTTGGATGGCATCCATCCATCATGGGCCACAGTTACGCGGCGAGGCTGTCGTCCTTTGGTGCTGAGTGCTCCGGCAGGAAACAAGAACGTATGATAAACATGACACCTCGAGACCTTTTGTTGTTTTCCTTCGTTCGTGCGATCGATCCGAACCCTTTCCCTCATGTTGTACCTTCCTGATTCCTCCCTTCCTCTACCTCCACCGCCGTGCTGTTATCTTGTTCATTTTTTTTACTATATTTTGCATCGATCGATCGCACCTTTCCCTAAAGTCGTCCCTTCCGAATGCTTCCCTCTCTCTACCTCGCCGTGATCTTTGTTGTCNCATGACACCTCGAGACCTTTTGTTGTTTTCCTTCGTTCGTGCGATCGATCCGAACCCTTTCCCTCATGTTGTACCTTCCTGATTCCTCCCTTCCTCTACCTCCACCGCCGTGCTGTTATCTTGTTCATTTTTTTTACTATATTTTGCATCGATCGATCGCACCTTTCCCTAAAGTCGTCCCTTCCGAATGCTTCCCTCTCTCTACCTCGCCGTGATCTTTGTTGTCATCCCTCTCTCTCTCTCTCTCTCTCTCTCTCTCTCTCTCTCTCTCTCTCTCGTGTGTTTCCATGACCAGCCGCGCTTCCGAGTCGTCGGGTGCGAGCGCAAGCTCAGGAAGCACCGCCGCAAATCCACCCCCCTTCGTGGGACAGGACGAAGGCGTCCTGCACTCGGTCCTGCAGGACATCCGGGAGTGGAGAGTGAGCTCGACCGTTGTGGACGATCCAAACCAGGGTGAGCATCGTTTTTGTGTCTACCGCTGTGGACGATCCAAACCAGGGTGTGCATCGTTTTTTGGCTGCAAGCTAAGTAGCTACCGTATATGACACAAGATAACACACCCCCTTGACCATTTTTCGAAGCTCGATTTCTCAACTGCAGGAACAGTCACGGCGCCGAAAACGGCGGCTTTGAAACCGTGTCGTCGAGAGCTTTTCGAAAATGTATCGTTTCGTTTATGCATCCTCTTCGTGGAGTAATCGAGCTTTGAAAATCGTTCCAGGGGGTGTGTTATCTTGTGTCATATACGGTATGTAGACCATGCATTCAAATATGTTGCCGCCTTGTATAGTTTTGTGGAGAGCTGTTGTAGACGATCCAATTCAGGTGACTTTTGTTGTGGTTTCACCATCGCTGTGTCTCGTGGCTTGTGAAGACCATGAGACGTGGCTAAATAGCTACCGTATATGACACAAGATAACACCCCCCCTGGACCGAATTTCAAAGCTCGATTACTCCACGACGAAGAGGATGCATACACGACATGATACATTTTCGAAAAGCTCTCGACGAGACGGTTTCAACGCCGCCGTTGANCCATTTTTCGAAGCTCGATTTCTCAACTGCAGGAACAGTCACGGCGCCGAAAACGGCGGCTTTGAAACCGTGTCGTCGAGAGCTTTTCGAAAATGTATCGTTTCGTTTATGCATCCTCTTCGTGGAGTAATCGAGCTTTGAAAATCGTTCCAGGGGGTGTGTTATCTTGTGTCATATACGGTATGTAGACCATGCATTCAAATATGTTGCCGCCTTGTATAGTTTTGTGGAGAGCTGTTGTAGACGATCCAATTCAGGTGACTTTTGTTGTGGTTTCACCATCGCTGTGTCTCGTGGCTTGTGAAGACCATGAGACGTGGCTAAATAGCTACCGTATATGACACAAGATAACACCCCCCCTGGACCGAATTTCAAAGCTCGATTACTCCACGACGAAGAGGATGCATAAACGACATGATACATTTTCGAAAAGCTCTCGACGAGACGGTTTCAACGCCGCCGTTGACGGCGCTGTGACCGTTCCTGCAGTTGAGAAATCGAGCTTCGAAAATCGGTCAAGGGGGTGTGTATCTTGTGTCATATACGGTAAATAGCTATGACATGCATTCAAAGATGTGGCCGCCTTGTGTAGTTTCTGTGGGGAGCTTGTGGACGATCCAAGCCAGGGTGAGCATCGTTTGCGCTTTGTGACTGGGGAATTGCTGATTTTTTCCCGAGACCTAGGCATCAAATCTGTTGGTGGATCGGTAAATACCAAGACTGTCCATGAAATCTATCGGTTGATAGATAAATGTTGATTAAGACTGCAATAAAAATAGTGCCCCTGTGCAAAGTGATTGTAGGTAATTCTACGGCTGTGGACGATCCAAGCCAGGGTGGCGTTTGTTTGTTTTTTCACCGTTGTTTCGTTGTGAAGACAGCTGCATCCCCTTCGTCCCTGGCTGTAGACGAGCGGGTAGGCTCTCTCTGTATTTTTGTTTTCGTCACATTGAACTCGTGTCAGTTGAAAAAAAAAAAGCAGAAAGCCCTGGGGTTTGCCCCCTCCTGTGTGACCCTGGATGGTTGTAGTTGCACGAAAAAATACACTTAAAGGTGTGGCGCTCTACGCACACCGAAAAGTGTAGTACACGTCTCACCACGAAAAGTGGGGCGACTGTAGCCGTAACGAGTAGGACGCAAACTCACACACACGGGTGCTAATCCCAAAATCTAGCCAAGATCCCTTCTTCCTTGGTAACAAAAATGCTAGAGCCATCAGAAGATCCAAAGAAACACGCAGTACGTTTGCGTCCCCAAAACTGAATTACCTGTCCGCACACTACATCCGACTAAAGCAACATCACCCCCCTCCCCCTGTTCAGTCTTTGCCCAAATATTTTCCTCAAGAAGGAGTGGAGTATAGATAGCTGAAAAGGTTAACCATGCAGAAAGGTGTATATGTGTGGCTTTTGTGGAGGCTGACCGATGGTTCCGAGAACATCGTTGCGCTTGCTCTCGCGGCACAATGATTGGTAACTCTTTGTTTGTAATTTTTGCGCGGCATCATTTGGTCCAACAAGCAGTGATGAGTGTTTCCATACTGCTGGTGTGTTCTTGACACCCGGTGTCGTTGGAAGATCCACACCAGCACCCCTCCTCCTTCTTCTCTTGTATTTTGCCTTTGGCAACCCGTGCTCTCCCACAGCATGGTGGCCAGCAGTAGCAGAAACGTGGTGCCATATACCGCTGGGTTCTGTAAAAACTACTTGGTGGTTTGCCACGTGTGGTCTTTTCTTGCTGCAGTGTGTGCACATGTTGCTGTGATGCCCCTAATGTTGGCAGCGAAAGCCTCACGAGTTCGTGAATCCTCATTCGCTTTGCCTTGCTTGGTGTGTTGGCTTCCTATCGCTGACTTCTCTCTCACATCGTTCTCTCTAATGTCTCTACCTCTCTATCAATCCCTCCTCCTCTCTCTCTCTCTCTCTTTCTCTCTCTCCCTTGCACCCTATCTTCTCTCTTTCTCTTCTCTCTTTCCCTCCCTCCCACCCCCCAGGCAAGAGCTACCTCCGCGTATACCCCCTGAGCGGAGAAACCCTCGGCGTGACACACTTCATCGGCGTCCTCGAAAACCTCGACACCGCACAAGCCGCGCGGCAGCAGCAGCAGCAACAACAGCAACAGCAGGCCGGACCGTCTTCGATCGGCGAGGGACCCATCTCATCATCAGCAGCATCATCGCCTACGGCTGCCGCCAAGGGCGGGGAGCATTCTTCTGGGCTGGAGGCGGGAGCATCGGAGGGGGAGACCTCTTCGGACTCGGCCAGCTCAGCGGCGAAGGGGCGCGTGAAGTTCCACGACGGCAGCAGCGGCAGCAGCGGGAGCGGCGGCTCAGACGATGGTGGTACAGGTGCGTTGTCGTTGTTGTTGTTGCTGCTGCTGCTGCTGCTGCTGCTGCTGCTGTTTTTTTTTTATGATTGTGCCGGTGTATGAAGAGGGGTAGTTGGAAGCCCCTAAAGAAATGCTTTTTTCGGAAACCCCACGTCTGTTGCTGTGGTGCCGCTGTGATGTGGAGGTGCAGTTTAAGGCGATTCACGCGTTATGGGACCAAGATTAATTTTTCCTGGGCCCGTGTGTTTGACTTGACGCCCACGTCTTTATCCTTCTCCTCAGGTGTCTTGTTGGTGTTGATTGTGACAAGTCTTGTTTGTTGAATTTGGCGGTCGCTCGTAGGCGCCGTTGAATTGAACAGAAGGTTCTCCCATCATTGGAGGCTTGCAGAAGGGGTTGACCAACCAACAGCTTTGAAGAGCTTTGACTGAGTTTGACGCAAAACATGCGGGTCGTCTCTCTCCCTCTCGCCCCCTTTTACTTCACCACTTGACCGTATCTGCCACCCCTCATTCCCGCCGTAAGCGTGCTCACGCATGTCTGTTGACGTTTATTGTGCGTGTCCACCGAGGTTGCCTGGCCCCCCTCTCCTACTCCGTAACGAAACCGCGCTGCTGCTGACCCACACAAGGCACA